CTTTAACGTTCAGAAGATAGAATAGAGGCAGGTATGACCCTTTAACGTTCAGAAGATAGAATAGAGGCAGGTATGACCCTTTAACGTTCTGAAGATAGAATAGAATCAGATATGACCCTTTAACGTGCAGAAGATAGAATAGAGGCAGTTATGACCCTTTAACGTTCTGAAGATAGAATAGAATCAGATGTGACCCTTTAACGTTCTGAAGATAGAAATGAGGCAGATATGGCCCTTTAACGTTCAGAAGATAGAATAGAGGCAGGTATGACCCTTTAACGTCCAGAAGATAGAATAGAGGCAGGTATGACCCTTTAACGTTCAGAAGATAGAATAGAGGCAGGTATGACCCTTTAACGTTCAGAAGAAAATAGAGGCAGGTATGACCCTTTAACGTTCTGAAGATAGAATAGAATCAGATATGACCCTTAAGCGTGCAGAAGAAGATAGAGGCAGCGTCCAAAGGTAGAATAGAGGCAGGTATGACCCTTTAACGTTCAGAAGAAAATAGAGGCAGGTAATAGAGAAGGTCCAGAATAATAGAGGCAGGTATGACCCTTTAACGTCCAGAAGATAGAATAGAGGCAGGTATGACCCTTTAACGTCCAGAAGATAGAATAGAGGCAGGTATGACCCTTTAACGTAGAATAGAGGCAGCGTCCCTTTAAGGTAGAATAGAGGCAGGTATGACCCTTTAACGTTCAGAAGGTAGAATAGAGGCAGGTATGACCCTTTAACGTGCAGAAGGTAGAATAGAATCAGACATGACCCTTTAACGTCCACAAGGTAGAATAGAGGCAGGTATGACCCTTTAACGTCCACAAGGTAGAATAGAGGCAGGTATGACCCTTTAACGTCCACAAGGTAGAATAGAGGCAGGTATGAGCCTTTAACGTCCACAAGGTAGAATAGAGGCAGGTATGACCCTTTAACGTCCACAAGGTAGAATAGAGGCAGGTATGACCCTTTAACGTCCACAAGGTAGAATAGAGGCAGGTATGAGCCATTGCGCGCGTGCGTAGGTGTGTTGTGTGTGTGTTTAACGCCTGTCTCAGCAATATCCCAGTGATGTGACGGAGTTATTTAAATGACCAAGTCTGCACCACACAATCCAGTGATTGATATGAGCAACGATTAACGTAATCAGGATACGTTGGCATGCATCAGTCAGCAAGCGTGATCGCCCGAACATGGTACGCGCCTTTAACAAACTTTTACCCCGTTCACGAAATCGCCATCCTTCTCCTGACGGTTTGGCAGTGTGTTAATTAATGGGTTTACTTATCGTAAACAGTTATATTCCAGATATACACCGTCGCCTAGTAAATAATCTAGTCTGGGCAACTTTATCAGTGAGTTAAAGCATGAGCATGTCATCAAAATATTAAACTATAATCAGCTAGCCCGCTGTGACTGACCTCTTTATTCCGGTCTGGCAACAAGCATGCGTTAGGTGAGTGAGTTCATTTTTGTGCCGCTTTAAGCAACATTCCCGAAATATCACGGCGGGGGACGCCAGAAATGGGTTTCACACATTGTACCAATGTAGGGAATCGAACCCGGGTCTTCGGTGGGACGAGCAAACGCTTTAACCACTGGGCTACCTCACCGCCCCTGCATGCGTTTAGGGAACCGTTGTGATGTCCACTGGATAGGTTGGTGGTGACATAAGAAAAGGTGATGAGTTCAGTAACTGTGATAAGTTAAGAAATATAAACAGCAACATTGTAGCTGTAACCAGGGAGAACAGCCATAAGGTCTGGACCAGTCAAATCAGTGGTCAATAGTGTGAGCATCGAATCCGCAGTGGAGCAAGTTGTTTTAAACAGATGTTAATTGTTTTGGTTAATATAGCCACAGCGTTCTGACAGTAGGATCTGACGCATGGTGTTCTAATGTCGTGAACCCGACCCAGGCCTCGAACACGATTGCCGATCTGTCGAAGAAGTGTGACTAGATCTCCAAAACGCAACAGTTTATAATTAGAGCTGTGTCTAAATACAGTATCCTGGGCTAAAAGCTGCTGTAAGGTATGTACGTGGTGTAGATAAGTTATAATGTTTTGTCATTATGGAGCCATTTCCGTGGAGACATCCACTTCCAATGGCCGCTTTAATCTAACGCACTCCTGTCAGACATTTGCCACAGCATCTCATCTTGATTTATTCTTGACAGCCGCAAATCTGCTACACTATCAGCAGCCGATAGGCGCGTGTACTACAAGAGATCGACACTGGTTGTTTTTTTCTTGTCATTTCCCCATCGTAAGAGCTATTTATCATCATAATCACTACTCCCTGCACTGTAATCACGCGGCTCCTATCTCACAGGTAAGTAACATCGCTGTTGGGAGCTTGTTATCCTCACGTTGGCCAGGTAACCTGAAACGACGTTTCTGATTGGCGACGAAATGGCGAGCCTGCGTGATATACGGCGGGAAAAGTCATTGAAGCGGGGGGGACAAATTGTTTGATCCGCCAGGTTCACGAGACAAAGGAGGAGGTTGACAAATACGATCCTTCCTGATAACACATCATTAAGTAGCCCTATCTCTGAAACCAGATATTGTGCGATATATCACAATGATTGCTCCCCGAGACTCCTCGACGAAATGAACGCTCCCTCAATGGGCGATCAGAGACAGGGGAGACCCTCGCGGTTTCTTATCACAGATAGGGACTCACTCCAATGAGTCGGCAACGCTGCGGAGAGACAGGCTAATTGAAAACTAAGTACCTGTGTATCCGTCCCTTGTCGTGGGATTATTTATGGCAGGGTCGGAGCAGATGACTTATTGTTAAAGGCCCGGCGGTCCGCCATGACTGCCCTCAACCCCCATGTTATTTTAAGATCATTAAGACTGTGATAATTCACTTGAAGTAACGTTAAATGCTTTCACGACCACAAGAGTACATAAACATCTGATTTATGTGTTTGAATATGATTTATGAGTGTTTATAGTTGAGGGACGTTTATTCTTTTTTCATAGGGGTTATTTACAAGGCTTGTGATGACTGTAATGGTTGTACGGTTTTGTTAAAACATTTCAGCTCGTTTGTTGTGTAAACTGTAAAAGAGACTACAAGGCAAGACACTCTTGGCAACATGATCACCGCTTTTGTAACGATACTGTATATGTACTTATGCTGACGTTAGACATGGGTCAGTAGCATACCCTTCGCCAGTATACTATCACTACCTTGACGTGCCCCGAACCCATTGTTATTCCCAGGTCAAGGTCACGTCACACTCGTCATATACTTCATTATACTTTAGAGCTAGGCACGCTCTTGCCAATACGATCACCACCTCTGTATCCATGCTGTATGTGTACTTATATCGAAGTCAGATACGTGTACGTAGCTTATACTTCACTTATACCATCAACACCTCAATGGTGCCTTGAATCCATTGTTATTGCTAGGTCAAACCAAGGTCAAGGACACAATTTACACATTCATACTTACCACATGCATACAGTCCCCGAACCGCTTATATATTCAGAGATTAAGCGTTAGTCTACATCGCATAGGGCGATGCCTTACTGGAACCGTTCTCAAGCCCACCAGCCTCTGTTTCGTATCCTTACTTATGCTTAGGTCAAACCAAGGTCAAGGACCCAGATTATATAATTTCACCATCTTTATCATATCTGGAACGGGAGTTGCTCCTGTGAGTTTGATTTCATTTCGGACATGGTTCTATTCCTCTCTTGTACCAGTTGATTAGGAATGATATTGTCAGAGATGTCGTTATTTTGATTGCATGTTAACACAGGTACACATTTCCACTTGTCTTCTGAGTTTATAACGATATGAAATATCACGGATATTTCCTAGCAACAGTTGCGAACAACACAGAATGTGCATACATTATGAACTTGCCTTAATAGCCGACCGCATAACACTTACCAAGCGCCAGATCGTCTCATGCCGTTTGTTGCATTGAGATAAATATCTTGGACTATTCGCCCCTATACTTTTGTTTCAGGACTATTCATCCTCATCTCCCCTTTATTAAACTTTGCACAAGTTTTTTCTCGCTCAAAGGAGTATTTTTATTGGACGGCTATTTTTAGCGCCGTGTATGTCAAATGCGGCTAAATGGGAAGCTTCGATAGGCAATAGAAACAGAAAGAGCTGTAAAGTTTGACCGAATCTGTTTTAACCCTAATTCCCGTAGAAGTCATATTAACTATGGTAATTTTGTGTCAAGGTCAACTGGTTCAAGGAAGACTAAGGTTAAAAATGAATATTCGACCATATGAATATTACTATATTCAAATTTATTGATTTTACAAAGATAAGAGTTGCACAATAGTAGTTGCATTGTTTGTTAAACTTTTAAATTTTATAAAAAAATAAAACCATGTTGTATTTTTAGTATAGTTCATTTTGTGGGTATAATATTACGACTTTTTAACAGGAAACAGATAACTTTGATCTTCAGGTTAGTAGGTTGCATAATGAAGGATGTAAGCAATGGTCGAGTGAGAGAGTGAGTGAGTGAGGTTTTAGCAATAATCCAGCAATTCCACCAACCACCAGAAATGGCGTGAGGAGCGAGCGCCACAGCTACGTATGGTTGTCGTATTGTCGACTATGGTAACACAGTGAGTGAGTGTGGTGTTACGCAACTTTTAGCAATATTGCAGCAATATCGCGGCGGGGGACACCAGCAATGGGCTTCAAACATCGTAAACATGTCTTCAGCGTGACGTGCGTACGCCTTTAGGCTAGCCTAACCATTAGGCTATCCCATCGACCCCTATGGCTGACTGACTGACTGAGTTTGGTTTTACGCCGCTTTTAGCAATATTCCAGCAACATCACGGCGGGGGACACCAGAAATGGGCTTCACACATTGTACCCATGTGGGGCTTCGAACCCGGGTCTATGGCGTGACGAGCCAACGCTTTAACCACTAGGCTACCCAACCGCCCCGCCCCCTATGGCGATAGCACGATTCATTACAAAAGTATAATAAATAATGCATTGTTTGATTGTTTTAGAAAGTTTATTACATTTATGAAAACAATGACAACGAAGCACTACACGTGCCTACAGATAGCGCTGTGGCCTCACTATGTTGTCGGAGTCATAGAGGTTCGTCTCCGTACAGTACCGGACGAAATTAGGTAACACTTTCAAATATAATAGATACAACCAATCAAATAAATTACAAAAGATGTTCGCATGCGTTATTACTTTCCTGTAACGGACAACACAACCAATACAAAATACGAAATATGCTTTATCGGAAGAATATTTATTCTTGGTTCAGAGCGCCGTTATTTCAGAACAGATGTCAGTGTATGTTTCCGTCTATGTTGTAAAACACGCATGCACATACTGTGCGCATAGTATCCATTCACGTTACAATTCCAAAAGCGCATGTTCCTATTCCTTATAAAAATATGTCTACAATAATATCAAACAACAGACATCGATGAGCGCAATAATACAACACACGCCCCGCCCATTCTGTTATCAGCCAATCAGGAAGGAACGGATAGTCCCCGTTAGTGGGTGTGGCCTAGATATTTAGCTTTAGACAATGCATTTGATTTACATTGCTCGATTGGCCAATCAAATGTCACAGACTTGCATGCAGCTTACATAACTGAGTTATTAATTGCCACACAAGATTCGTTTCTAGTTTCGCCTTGAATTTTTTATTTTATGTGATTTTTATCAACCCGATTATAAGACAAAATTAACCTTGAAGCGTGGTTTTAATGAAGAAAAGAATCCATGAAAAGTCTTATTTCTTTTCATACTCGACATTGTACTTTGACTCCCCTCTATAACAACAACCATCAACCGATCTGGAGAACCGTCGGTTTGAAAATCTGATTTGGACGTTCTGAAAATTTGACTCCATAAACAATATAACCGATCTCGCTGAATCCCTTAACGGTATGTCTTGCCAATATCCTCGATATAAGGCTACCTCGGATTGATTATCTGTGCCAGTGTCCTCGATATAAGGCTGGCACAATTTGAGATAGGTAACCTCGACAGTAAGCATATGCTTATCAACTGCACACTCTAGTATAAACAAAAATATTCACAAAATAGCTGTAACGGATTCATATAAATAGATCATATATCTCAATACGAATTTTTACACATCCATTCCGCGAGACATATACACCTACAAAATATATATTATACACCGTCTATATATACAAAAAGTATAAGCACTTTGATAGATGCACGAACATGAAGTGCATAAGCCACTACAGGCTGTAGGCGTCTTTTAAAGACATGGCGGCTACATCTAAAACTTTTTTTCGGTTAAAGCGATACGATTCGAGTCTGCACCCCTGGGGTTTTGTCTGACAATCGCCCTGAAAATGATTGGTTCCACTCGTCCAATCACGACACATGAAAACACAAACTGACAGCTTCACAACCTGACCTCACTTCCGGTCACGTGACAATGTAACAGTACTCAATATCCACACAGGAAGTTTGAAAACAGGTGGGAGCCATTCCTGCCAAGTTGTTACCACTTCCGGTCGAACGAAGCAAAACGTCTGCCAGTCACGTGACTGATATGTAAATCCTTCCTGTCACCAGACCAATGTCATTTCATGGATTGAAGTCGCTTGAGCAGTCAACTCTTCTCAGTTTTTATCACACTGTTTTCCAAATTTTGCACTTTTGGTTTTCAGTCTCTTCAAACAACTCGTGATAACTTTCCGCCGACATGATGGTTCGCAGCGCTGCATCTTCTTGCGCAACTTCCGCTTGAACTTCTTGAAGTTTCCTGGGGACAGATACCACAGCGTTAACACCAGTTGTTTACAGTTACATCTAATGAAATGGCATCGCCGATTGTCTTAGAAAAAAATGTTTGTTTGTTGTTTAATCTGCACTAAACAATATACAAGATAAATGACTTCGGTCTGTGAATAATGGAATCTCTTCCAGACAGATCTACGCAACTGGGATACGATGACATGCATCAACCAAGTCAACGAGCCTGAAGACCCAATCTCGTTAGTCGCCTCTTGTGATAAGCTAAAGTTTGTAATGTTTTGCTCAACTCCAGATTTCAAGTGTATACGTTTTTTTGCCCGGCATTTTATATGATGTTCTTATTTTACTTTCAGCTTTAATGTTTTCGACGTTAACGTCGCATAACCTCCAATAACATATCGATAATGTCTTCCTTTCTGTTATATACACACGACTTCTCATATAAACAGATGGAAATTCATATTTTGTCTTCACTATTACGAACAATGGAAAAGCTAGACTTGTTTAATTTTGGGCCTTTGCATTACAGATCGGGTTTGGTGCAGAGGAAAATAACGTCGTTCAAAATAATGACAGACCGGGAGAGGTACTTACCGAAGCCCGCAATTTATAATGGTTTTATCTACGATAACTTAAATTCTGGACCATTAAGTCGTATTAAGGAGACTCTTTACGTTTTCAGCACTTACTCTTGTTTGTGGCCCCGAGCACCTGGGACTGGGCTATCGTGGCTCGAACCGTTGCTGCGGGTCTGTTGTCTGTCACCATTTCGGACACTCTCCCTGGAAGCGAGAAAACGATAACATTTGAATCCACGAATGAATCAGCGTGTACAAATTTACCCCTCTTTAAGCCATTTTCAAATATCACGCCAGAAGTAGATATCACTCACTAGTCACTGAACCCATGTGGGAAACGAACCAATTCCTTTGGCGCGATACAAGGCTACTTCACCTTAAATCATGGAGCCATATATGTGTTACTGGGCGCGTTTCACAAAGCGATCGTAGCGCTTCGACTGACGCAACTCTATGTTAAAGTATGTGATTTACGATAATCGTACCGCTACGGTCGCTTTGCAAAACGGTCTCCAGAACCTGAATGACCAAAGAGAAAATCAGCACAGCGTTACTCCTCCCAGCTGGTCGTTGTGTTGTCGCAAAGGCTATGGGAGTAATGAGCTTCGTTTGTGTATGACATAGCATGAGCGTAACGACCTTCGTAAGTGTATGTTAAGTATGATTTTAACGACCTTCGTAAGTGTATGTTAAGTATGATTTTAACCACCTTCGTAAGTGTATGTTAAGTATGATTTTAACGACCTTCGTAAGTGTATGTTAAGTACGATTTGAACCACCTTCGTAAGTGTATGTTAAGTACGATTGTAACAACTTTCGCAAGTGTAGGTTAAGTACGAGAGTATCTACCCCCGTAAGCTACAGCACGAGAGTACCGACCTTCGTAATTGCATGTCGCAGCATAGGAGTAATGACCTTTGTAAGTGGATGATAGAGAAAGCAATAACGACCTGGTATGTGTATGTTATAACATGGAAGTAAGGACCTTCCTACGTTTATGCAAAGGCGTCGGAGGAACGACCTTCGTAAGTTTATTTTATAACATGTAACGACTTTCCCAAGTGTATGTTAAGTACGAGAGTAACGATTTTCCGTAATATAGCATGTGTATTAAAAATATGTAACACCTTTTTGTAGTTTAAAGCCATTTTTCAGCTATATGATGGCGATCAGTGAATAATCGGGCTTAGACCAGACAATCCCGTGATTGACATCATGAGCATCGATCTACACAATATTGGGATACGATAACATGCATCAACCAAGTCAGCAAGCCAGATCACCCATCACTTGAGTTGTCTCATATTTACAACAAGCATGTCATACAATTGTACTGTTTTATCAGATCCAGATTTCAAGTGTATACCTTCTTTTGCCTGTGGTATAATTTAGGTTCAGCTTTAATGCTTTTTTCAATTATATGTACACAACGTTCCGTATTTCCATGTTTCATATTTCATAGGGGCGGTGGGGTAGCCTAATGGTTAAAGCGTCGGCTCGTCACGCCGAAGACCCGGGTTCGAATCCCCACATGGGTACAATGTGTGAAGCCCATTTCTGGTGTCCCCCGCCGTGATGTTGCTGGAATATTGCTATAAGCGGCGTAAAACCAAACTCAGTCAGTCATATTTCATATCTAAATAAAAAAAAAGATTACCTTTCCTCACGGTCCACTTGAATACTTCTACTGAGGCCCCAGTCGGCACATCAAACAGTAACGTTATTGAATGTTTCTCCTCGATCTGATAAACGTATCTGTCGCTTCGCTTTGGAAGGCACATTGTGGAGAACAAAGATGGCGGCGGGGTGATGGGCGGAAGTGACGTAGGTATGACCCTAGTTGTCATGGAAGGTGTGGACTGTTTGTGCTTCTTCCGCTTTCTGCCACCCTTTTTATTACATCTCCGCCTACGTCGCTTGCCTACAAAATTGAAAGTTCGCATTTAGAGTGAGTGAGTGAGTTTGGTTCAACTCCGGAGGGAACATTGTTTCGTTTTATGAAGCTGTCAGCTTAATATCGGAAGAGAGATAAAACATGGCGCCCAACCCCTTCTCACCAAAATGCCTTTGCCCCAAATGTATCCATTGAAATTATTAATCTGATGGCCCTACGTTGATGTCTCCATATAAAAATCGTCACTAACGGAAACAACCGACTGATACCGAAAAGTGAAACGATGGTCGGTCGGCTTACCATAAACAGTTTTTGTTTAGCCTTAGTAAAACTCGACCTAGAGCTAAATGACAACGCACCATCTTTTCCCTTCCGTCTCTTGCAGTTCCTGTTTCGGTCTGTGACTCGGCTTCGTTTGGGGCAAGTTTTGCAGCATTCTCCCTCCTTCTGGACTGGCGAGGAGCATGGCAGTTTGTTGTCTGGGACGCACTTCTTCCGCTTACAACTCACATTCCCTTCCTGGAACAACCGAGACAAGTCACTACCGATACATTGAAATCGAGGTATCGTATCGACATTGGTTAAATAGAAATATTTCGACTCTACACATCCTTAGGACGGTTCACCGAAGACACTCTGTAATGTTAAAACATTTACTATCTTACGTCGAATCTGCAATTTTTCATCTGAATAGTGGCCAAGGTTGCTCATTACATCAAATATAGTACACAATAGGGGTGGGTATTGCAGAGAATTTTCATATTGCGATGCGAAAGCATGTATTGCGATATGTATTGCAATATATTGCATGAAGTATTTTTAAACAAAAAACTACTTATAATCGAGGTAATGCTTGATTTATAGAACAAATACACAGCAAAATCACTATGCTTCATTAAGCTTTAATAACAACTTTTATTCATGATTAAAAATAAAAATGTGAATAATATTTGGCACAAATGAAAATAGGATATATCCGAAGATTTCCGAGTGTTACGAAGTTTTCGAATGCAAGTCAAAATACCGGTTTTCGATCAGCGTATCGCAATACGTATCGTTTTCATGTCTGAACCGGTAAATACCGGTAAACCGGTTATATTGCGCAGCCCTAGTACACAACTGTTCAAAATAATGTTCCCCTGTTTCGTGCGACCGGATTGCGATCGCCTATGTCGGCCCTCTTGGGAACTTAGTTTGATCAGAATACACAGTCTGACTATGTCGCCACGTTGTGAACATACTGTACTTGAGATAGGGGGTACATCCTCAAGCTGGTGCCTATACCTACTGACATTAGACCGAGTGTCTAAGCACGCTAAGCACAGTAAGCTACTGTTGGAGTGTTGACTGTAAATCTTTATTAGCCGATTAGAGTGCAGTTTTAACTTTTAACGACCTGAATGGACACTTCTAATACTGCAAGGGACTGTAAGCATGTTAATGCATATTACGTACAATTACCAGTCTCGACGTTTTACATTTGATTTCTCAAAAACACAGACGGAAGATGGGAATGGTGAGGGGATTCCACTTCTCGCGTTATTCTAAAGGACAAGTCTGGTGAAAGACTTGATTGTTGTAACCTGGACATTTAACATGGTGGTGGATTTCTTGTAAGACTTACTGAAATTTCAAATATATAAATTATAATGTGGACGTCATATACTTAAGAAATATACTTCCTGTAAGTGTCGTTATGAAAATGGCCTACATGGACCCATCGCTGATAGCAACACCCACCTTACATTTACACAGTACACACTTGTCGGGGCCGTACGTTCCAATCAACGGATGCCACGTCTTGCCATTCGTCTTTCCAACAGAACAATCTAAAAGAGCATCTCAGGGCTGTTAGTTTCTACCATACATAGATGTACCAGAGTCATAGGAAATACACCAACCATTCGGATGAATGAACCGTTTCTATCTATCAGGCATCTCGAATAAAAAACTGGATGAGCCTAGTTGGAAATTTCTCATTTCCAGAAAGACGAACAGTCGGTACAGACGAATGATGTCTGTAAAAGTATGTTGAAATATCCATGTAAATAGTATTATTCGTTAGCATAAGATATTCCATATCAGTAAAATGAATACAATTTTGATGCCCGACCAAACCCTGTAACACGACAAAGGGTCATAATCTCACTTATAGTGTGGACAACAATTGTCATTTGAACGTTTATCAACTCGTGTTGATATATATCATATCAGTAGACACAAGGGTGATCATAATCATCCATAATAATCATCACCATTGTCTTGAGTGAGAAGAGTACTGCTAAGCAGCTTCAGTAGCAGACAGATAATTGATGTCATTTGATTGTGACGTCATACTAACTGATGGCATTACAATAGTCTTCAAAGCACTGATGCAATTTCATAGTAGAAATATCGCCTACTAGAGATAATTTAATATCACCCACAAGTCAGTTTTGGATGAAGGCGCTTTCAGCAATGTCTCAGCTTGCGACCAATATAAACTCATCTACACGTGACGCTATCGAGCTGTCTAGAAGATGATATTGTCAAAAACATGCAAAATGGATTTTAGTGTATGTTAAGGCCTTTAAATTATTTCATCTAGAGAGACCTTCAATATTTTGCAAAACCGTGATTAAATGTTTGTAAAATGTAACAAAGTAATGACAGATACAGGGTGGGAAATTAGTTTGAAATTAATAGAATGAAATGTTACATATAGGTCAATGTAAGGTTGTGTAACAAAGACGTTGTTTCCCACAAATATTCATTCACATTTCAGCCATCCACAACGAAAGGGAAACAAGATTTGTGTTACACGACCTTAAAATTGGTTTAATGGGTTCATTACGGAAGAAGATGAAATAATGAACCCAATGGAGAGTTTTCTTAAAGACATTTCAGAATGTGCGGGTTGTGCAGACTCTGTGACACATCCTCGTTAATCCAGGGAACAACGCTATTTTGTTAAATGGTCTGGCCCATCGCCATTATAGCTCCGTTTTGAGACCAACTCGAAATATGGGGCGCTAAAAGTCGCCCTCAGCTCAAATCACATCTGTGAGCGAGAAAAATTCTGTGCGAGCTTACTGAGATGATTTAGGAGTGACGTCACCTGGAGGAGCCTATAGTGGTGAAGGGGTGCAGGAATTAACGATAATAAAACGGAGATAGAATAGTCTGGATAAACGAGGATGTCCATAACTAAACACGACTGGAATGATTAGCTGACAACATCGGGACACTAACCCAGTCAAGGGGTCGGTATACTTCGTGTTGAGTGAAAGGTCGACTATTCCAAATTTAATTCAACCCAACGATAACTGATGATTATACTACCGCTTCAAGCTAATGATAATTGTACCTTTGGAATCGACAAAACCCCAAGAAAATCCGCCGAATATAGTTAAGATTAGTTACATAGTCGTGTTCAGTTCAAGGGGAGGCCAAGTTCTTAAGCGAATGCTGTTGAAAAATTGAAATTGCTTTGATCTTTAATTGATGTACACTTTACAGAAAGACACTGTACATCCTTTGCGTAGATTTCAATACATACTCCGAACAATGATGGGTAAATGTAATTTTAGGGATGACTGAAGTAGCCGAAATATGTCGGAATGTACCGAAGATCAAAAACAGCACAATCCGTAACAAGTCGTTTCCCCGTAGCCAATGAATAGTTACGGATACGGATGCTCGAGAGTAGAGCAAACAGCATAACACAAGAACGTGGTACCAAAGAAGTGTTAGTCTACAGAATATTGCCCAAATATCTGTCTTACCAGAATCGGAGACATTGTCTGGTCGCTCACCTGAAAGAATTTTGTTTACATAATCTTCGTAATCGTCCTCTTCTGTAAGGGAAGAGCAAACAAATCGCTACTAGAGTGGTCTCCCTTTAAAGAGAGTTATCTTTAGAACTACTCATCTTCAGCAAGTATCGATTTTACTCAAGATAGTTAGTGAAAAACTAAATTATAAAGGCATTCAATATTACTTACTGAAATTGTTATATGTAATAATGAAACAAAATGTAAAGTTTCAAATATAAAGCGACTGTTTACTTCCGGTTTGCTTTACGGTTACTGTAAACTACCAGGTGTCTCTCTGCCGCTTCAAATTAGGGACCGTCCATTTCAGATTTTGGTTTGGAGATTTGTGGTTAGTGGAGGTGGGAAAGGGGTGGGTGGATAGTTTTAAAGGGTTTTCAGACAAAAAAATAATCTTGTTTTCTTATAAAAGTTCCACACGCTTAATATTAAATCTCCACACGCTTAATATTAAATCTTTAAATGGCCGATCCCTATGTTGGCTCTTAACTAAAATTGCTTTTTGATACACATTCGATCTGAATTTGAAACATTTGAAACAGGCTTTAAATGACATTAAATTATTCTCCTTTGTTACTTTGAATGTTTTGGGTAAATTAATGTCATTATGTGCATTGGGGCAGCCCCTTGCCTTTGCTCTTGTAATCTTATTAACAGGAAAAAATAGAATTTGACCACTTTAACGATCAATCGTTGTTCTACTTTATGTTTTTTGTTTGTATCAAAAACAGAAAATATTTAAATTCTTCAGCTGTATCATTTATATTTCGTATATTTGAAGCTGGAGAAATTATAGCTCAATTTAATCTTAACAGCACACTCTTTTGAAGTATGCACCACTGTACCGGAAGTGACACGGTCGCCATCTTACCTTCACAGTGAGGGCAGCAGTCATCGGAAACATTGATGTATTTTTTACAGCTTCCTTTTTTTTCACACGTTTTTAGATGACAGAGGACCTGGGCTGTCTGAAATAGTCGAAGTAAAGTTTTCTTTTGTAGGATGGCACTTCGTAATGCTAAAATGAAGTATTGAAACTAGTTTTCTCCAGGAGTATATTTAACCTCATTTCACTAAGCAACTTACGTTAAGCGTTACGACTATCATAGAGTACGTGAGAGGTGAGGTGAGGTGAAATTGGGTTTAACGTCGCGCTTGAGAATATTTCGCTCATATGACGACGTTCATGCGTGTGTATGTGTAGGTGCAGCTGCTTGTACTAGCCCAGACTGAAGCTGGTTTTATAGTGCTAGCCAACTGAGATACCATGCCGCAGTGAAGCATGAATACCCCACTCAGACACATTATACTGACTCCGAGCCGACCAGTTCTTGTTGTACCCATTAATGCCGAGCGCCAGGCAGGGACCAACAAGTACCAAATTTTAACGTCTTTTGGTATGACGCGGTCGGGGATCGAACCCGCGACCTTCCGCTCTCCGGGCGGACGCTCTAACCACTACACCACGGAGGCGGTCTGTACGTGAGAGAACGAGTTGGGTTTAACACCGCTTAGAACACTATTCCAGTTATACCATGACATGCCAGCTTAATCGGGGAAGAACGCCTCAAGTGATGTATGTTTCAGCCGTTTTTGAAACACGCGAGCACGGTTATGGTGTGGTCAAACCTGGAAACTTGTCCGGGATGCCAACCCACGATCATAGATTTCCAAGGGACGCAACTCTGTACAGAGAGCGACTTGGCCACCCGTGCATCGATTATTGTAAAGTAATTCATTCGTAATAGAAGTATAGTATGTAGGTTAACGTTAGCTTTTAAACTAAAGAGACATTAACCATTAACCAATGAGAGCAACATTAACCATTGATATACTCGAGATTTTGGACAGGAATTATCATCGCTTTTTACAATAGGGCTGTGTCTATGATGCTTCGCGGAAAGCAGATGTTTTCCCAAGTGTCACGTCACGTGACATGTCCACCCACCTGGCAGAAGCACATGACACACTGATCATTCCTCGTGGCCTTGAGGCCAGTTCGGTTGGATGGAAACATTGTTCCATCTTCGTAAACTTCTCCATAAAAGTTACATCCGGGTTTGTCCATGTCCTTCCCACTTCCGTCACTCGTCTGGACTGTAGGAGGAATGTTGTCAAATGGGTCTAAATAGAACAGTGTCCCCTTTTCACACATGAAAAGGCATAAGGCAAACAAAAGCAACATAAGAAACGTAAGAAAGCGTTGAGAAACACAGAAGTATTTCATAAAAAAATACGGAATGGTAGACTCTTCCGCGAAGTATTTAAAAAATCAGAAAATGTGGTCAGCTTTCCGCAAAGTACATTTTTGAATTTAGTCTGATGGACATTCCTTTTCGCCTTGCAGTGTGTTTTTCCAAATGACTTCAAACATCGAAATTACATATTTACAATGGTGGAATTGTATTAATTTGAAGATTAGACATGTGACATCGAAAGTCGAGGCCATTTTGACCTTTCAGTTTCAGTGATTTTTAACGATTTAAGACAAGGTCATATTTGTATCTTTGTTTCGTAGTGTTCTTCAAATCAAAGTATATTCTGTATTTGAAGGTGTCTTCAAAGTTTGAAACGAATATAGAACACACTAAGAGCTTCATACTTCTGAGATTCCTCTTTAGAAATTGAATAAGTTGGCGCTGAATTAATGATGATTGTTAATTACACCTGCATTCCAACATTGTGTTGCGTTACTTTTGTTAATGGGTTTAGTTACAGGACAATTTGCAAAAATAACGAGTGAAAATGAAAAGTAATATTTGCACTATGACAACACTTTAAAAATGGCTGGGCATTCACGAGAAAATATATAACTTTAATCAAATAAGAACAACAATTTTACACGTGGCCTGCAACACCATTAAGCTGAATAAAGCAGTGGTCGAATTTCAACATCAAACAACATCTGGTCGATGAGCCAATTACAAGAAATTTTAACTAAACCTAAATATTGACTAGAGGAATATACTGTATAGACATTGAAGTTACATCGCGGTATCCTGAAAAGTGCGTTTGTGTCTGGAGCGAACAAACCATCTATAAGCATCGAACACCCAACATCGGGATATAATAACACACTTGGCTGTAGCCTGTGGAGTGCAATTGATTGGGAGCAAGCAAACCATCAATGAGCATCGAACACCCAACATCTGGGTACAATGACATAAATGGTTGTACCCTGCAAAGTGCGTTTGGGTGTGGAGCAAGCAAACCATCAATGTGCATCGAACACCCATCATCTGGGTAAAATGACACAAATGGCTGTCGCCGAAAAAGTGCGTTTGGATCTGGGGCAAGCAAACCAACAGTGAGCGTCGAACACCCGACTTCGGGTAACAATGACAAACAGCAACAACCACCTCCCCATCAATGACTGGTTTCAATGCGCATGCGTTCCAAAAGGCCATGGATAACCCATCGATATATTAGACGCTACATCCAGGTAGGCCACCCAATACGTATTTTTAACATTTTACGTTTACGACATGCCATAGATTGAGATAGACTGCAACATAAAAAATAGTGTGGTATATAGTTTAAATAAATATATTTCAAATGGTAGACCACGATTTCACAATACAACCATGCTCACTGCACACGGATTTCAAAATGTACATAATATCATAAAACACAAGGTATTATCAGGTTCGAATGCGCAGTCGGGGCCAATGATATATAATGCATGTCCCTAATCGAGATAAGCTATAATCTCATTCAATTTCTGATAAGTGGCAGCGATAGACAAAAGTCTTCTTGTCTTATATAAAACTTTACATTCAAGGTCGAATGAAACTGAGCCCGGTCGTTTTAAGATAATTGCATTATACAGCTTCAGGGCGTTGGACACGTGACGTACCTTGGCACGTGGGGCAACATTTCCCGGGGACAATAATGGGTGTTTTACATTTAGGGCGTGGACATTCTTCCGTCACGCAGTTGGTTTTACCCGTCTGTAAAGATAAAAGAGATAAATTAACATTTTTTTCAAGACCAAAGGAAAACAACAATGATTATTAATATTAGAATTAGATGAAAGTTGTGCGTTTACGTTAAAATAACATAATATCGCATTCCTCCATGAGCATGTACATAAAACATCCAGTGATACATCCAATGTTATGGCATGTATTGTTTTAGCCCACTATACACTTTTACTGAAATTCAATGCTTTAAGATTTCTGATGCCTTTGCTTTTCAAATGCTATATTCCCAGCACTTTACTAAATATACTGAACAAAAGATGTTTGGTGTCGCGAATATTTCGGGGATATATTTTATGAAATTGTAACCTCACAAAAACTAACGTACACGTCTTCTTGATCCCTAACTTTTGGTTCACTGTGCCAAACAAAGACGCCATGTTTTCACTGTTTCACCTAACTGTTTTTCCTTGCATATAGTACATATCTCCATTTTTAACGTCCCTGAAAAATGAAGTTGTCAAACACGATTTTGTTTCAGTGCATTTTTCAGCCTGACAAAACAAAAGTAAAGTGAAAATTCACACATCAGGGTGATGTGATTTGGCGACGTCCATGTTCCTGGACACGCCATGAACATCTGTTGTAAGTTGCTCTCTGATATAATGCACCAAATACCTTATACATACCAGTATCATATACATCGCCATCGGATACTTTTATTTAAGCCATTATCAAACATGGGTGTGGTCTTTCTTTAGTGCGTCAGTTTTAGCAAATGAGGTTATGTTTTTAACAGAAGCCGAACCGTAACTTAAAAACTCTGGTCAGTTACCATTCCCTTTGTTAACAATGCCATGGACAATGGCGAAAATCTGTCACCACAAAACGTGAATAAGCCCATCTTTGAAACCACATCGTTCTTTGTCATCAGTACAGATGAATTTCGATAGAGTCCGGCTATACCTGGCATTTCCTATAAATCTCCCATGATGCTCAGCCATACTAACCGATAAACACCACCTAATAACTCATCATTTCAAGAAATGGCGTCCAGAGGTGACGAAGGTCGTATAAGGTGTGTCATCCGATATCGCTAAGATGTTATCCATGTTTTGTCACCCCTTGAAATAACCCGTGCCGAAAGAAATTGATTAATGGAGTCCAATGCTGTCGCTGCGTCGTGTATTACTGACAAAAACCCAGTTTTAAGGGGTCAGTTTACTATCATTTTGATCTGACGAAACTGGGTAACGCCCAGCTATAGGTTTCGACTAGTTACGAAGGTCGAATTTATCATGTGAAGAAATGCAGAAAAATATGCTGGCAGTTTAAATAGAATATCACGAGGTGTAACATTTTAACTTGACGTGGTATGTATGTATGTATGTATGTATGTATGTGTGTGTGTGTGTGTGTGTGTGTGTGTGTGTATGTATGTATGTATGTATGTGTGTGTGTGTGTGTGTGTGTGTGTGTGTGTGTGTGTGTGTGCGCGCGCGTGCGTGCGTCTGTGGGAGGTTCACGTTTTTGAATTGTCAGCCCCTAAATGACAGGAAATGACATTGCTTGCGCTCCGACTGCACTCTTGGTACCTACAGACAAAACCCAGTTCTGGACTCGTAACAATTATGAGTGAGTGATGTTTAAGATGTATGGGCTTATGTCGAGTACCACTTGGTCGACTGTTATATTTATGTCGAGAATCCGGAATTTAGAGTTCATCGTTATCATGCACAGTTTACAATAAAACTTCGTTAATACGGACTGCTTGAGTCCGGACTCTGTTAACCGGAAACCTCATATTCCGCACAAATAAGCCTGGGGAGGTTGGTTGGTTGGTTGGTTGGTTGTTTTTACTGCCGCACTCAGCAATATTCCAGCTATATTGCGGCGGTCTGTAAATAATCGAGTCTTGACCAGACAATCCAGTGATCAACAGCACGAGCATCGATCTGCGCAACTGGGAACCGATGACATATGTCAACCAATTTGAAAGCAAGCTCTGACCAATTTGATCCCGTGAGTCTCCTTTGGGCTTTTACGACAAGCATAGGTTACTGAATGCCAATATTCTAACCCGGACCTTCACGGGTCGTAACAATTATGAAAGCATGCCTGACCATGACGCAAGATGTGAAGTGTGTAGACAACTAAATGAACAGTTAAATGAACACAACACTGTCTTCGTTCAATAAAACCCATGTGCAGATTCGAATCCGTTAAGACAAATATACGTTAAGACCTTAGTGTACTGGTTATAAATTGTAAACATATAAAATTATGAATAACGTATGTCATAAACATGTGTCACACAGTGGGATCCCTCGACTCCATCTTGTCTTCATGAAAGCTCGTAATTCATGCATCATAAACAGGTCAATTATTCATGGAGAGAATAAAACACATACATGGATCCTGCACATAAATATGAATCAAAACATCATAAATATGTACGATCTTTTTATGTTAATCTGATGTCAGAGGCTGATAATAAATTAGTTGTTCTTGAAGAGCTAACAAGAGTGACACGACAGTGAACATGAAAGGAAGCCGCTGTTGTATACTCGCTCATATTCCACGGGCCAGACAAACGTCATGTTTTGGACCTACCAATGAAAGAATCTAAGGTATGTCGAAAACAAAGGGATTGTTTACTTCGTTTTTGTCACGCCAAAATATCTTAAATATTTATCACACATATACTATTTACTCGGAAATCGCTGTCAGGAGTTGCGTCTTAGGGTTCGAATCCCAGTTCGCCTAGGTTTGTCAGCACCGTGGTTGTGCTGGTGGGTTTCACCGATACTGAAAACGGCAAAGGCCTGTATCCCTCCACCCACTTACTCACCCACTAACCAATGACAATACATAAATAAGTTCACTGGTTCTGTTTTTTTTATGCCCTGAACGTGATTCCAAAACAACCCTCCATACGATGACGTCACATATTTCAAATTTCTGCACATGACGCATTTAGGACTGAAATAACATGCGTGATTGACAGGCAAACCGAAGGAATTTTGTGTGACCATACATAAAACTATGTTGTTGATGTCGACAGCAGACACTAAAGTTCACCTGACATGTGGCAAATCACATCAAACTCTTTTAAAGAGACACTTTTTATTTATTTATTTATCTATTTATTTATCAAAGCCCCCAGCAGGCGTCACAATCGCGTCCAACAATTACAAAATATTGGTCGAAGTCTTCACTAGAGTGAGTGAGTGAATTAAGTTTTACGCCGCTTTTAGCAATATTCCAGCAATATCACGGCGGGGGGACACCAGAAATGTGGTCTTCATTAGAGACAAGATGGGGTCATCCTTGCTTCAATGGCTTTCCCTGGATAGAGACGAATAATTCGTTTTGTCGCTTTTGGATGTGTCGCTTGTCGCTATCAGGCCATGGCAGTGAAAGTGTCCATGACATTTGTTAGATAATAAACCCCTTGATAAGCGAGGATGAGGTTGAAATAGATTTTGAGAGAGTCTAATCTAAGATTTCCCCATTTACTAATTCTATGGCATATATCACAATATATGAAGTGTCTTTAACATGTTTTTGCTATTGTCTGTAATTGTCAGAGTTTCATGTATTTCAATATTTTGTATTTAGATTTCAAAGGGTTAAACAATGTTCGTTGGTCCTTAACTTTCTGTTCGTCTACTTAAACCTCCCGACCAGACAGGGAATCTTCACATATTATCTGCTCTCCGAACAAAATGCCACCGCCAATACTATTGCTACACTCTGGTCAAGACATTAAAACCTCATGAACTGTCGGGGACCATCTCACAATTTTTAAGACACTTATATGCCTTCATCGTGGAACATCTGTACGTGCCGAGTGTAGTGAAACCCAATGGCCGATGATATCAATGATGTAGGTTTATCATTCCTTCGGCGTAAGAAAGTACTAATTAATGAAGAAAATGTTATTTCGCTCCTTAGGACTTTTGAGACGACCCCAACACCAGGCAGACGTTGGACGCCAAGATGGCGGAGTGGTCGTCTGTCGGGTCACGTGGTAATGTGTTTGTCGCCAGTTTGTATTTACTCACCTGTTCGCACGTGCAGTTAATGCAAGGTCTAGTTCCAAGGTCAAAGGGCCTAAGAACCGGGTGCCACGTCTCGCCAACCGCATAACTACGACCGTTGAAAGTGCACCTCGTGTCTGTCGATAAACAATATAACAGTGATGCTTTTGCCTCATAAACAAAATCCGGTCTCTTCTGAAGGATCAACGCTCATTTCTAGCCTACTCTGTGGCATTTCTACGGAACCCCATTATTGCCACTAAATTATTCTATGCCATTTTGAAACTTGAGACTTCAAATTTGAATTGTTTCTGGAAACAATTATCATCGCAAAGCAGAATAATGTCGTAGAAAGTTTATTTGTTAAATTCAGTAATTTTCTCAAAGTTTCATCATATTGTATTATTTTTAACGCAATTACTTGAATTTTCAAAATAATTGTTTTTAATTTTCAACTTTCAATTATCAAGATAGAAGTTTTAGTTCTGAAGATAATGACAAAATGACATTACGCTAATGGGGTTCCGTACATTTCCAGTTGGGCTATATCACTCACAATACAAGTTCAAGTACTAATAAAACATAGTTGCATTTCATGGCTTAAACATGACAGACATAATATGTTGTGGTTGAGACAAGTATTTCTCCAGAAGATGCCGAAAACTATCTTTGACATTTCATTTCTTGTTCGTATATTCAGCAAGTATGGTTGACACTTTGTTTTGTGTGCAAAACCTCAGCCATGTGTTGAACGTTTCTTATCTCTAACAAATTATTCTCCAGAGTGGGGGACACTAGAAATGGGCTTCACATATTGTACCCATGTGGGGATTCGAACCCGGGTCTTCGGCGTGACGAGCCAACGTACCTGTTGTAAATTAGTTGTAAGATAACCAGTCGCTCTATTTGCCAACCGGACTATTTTTACACTTAAACGAACTGCTGATACTGCTACTGCCGCTGCTGCTGCTGCTACTACTACTACTACTACTACTACTGCTGCTGCTGCTGCTGAGTTTATGATCACCGTCAGATACAGCGGAATGTGTCGTTAAACATCACACTACTTCAAAGCCTGTTCAAGAAACAGATATACAGTATAACATTTGGATCCAGCTAATAACAATCTCGGGATTCTGGAAACAGACGCTCATTCAACATGTCACCAGGTATATTATATTACACGTCACCATTTGCGAAGAAAACGTAAAAAATATCAAATGAATTCAATGGCGACGTCTCATACAACGTCAACACCCCTTCCTCAAGGTATTGAGAAAGTAATGCCCCTTGGCGGGCTAGCCCTACTGAAGTACCTCCACACCCTCGCAACATGCCCCTCCCTGGGACACTGTGGAGCCAAGCGTGAACGCTACCTATAAATACACCTTTTCCCGAATCCGAGCTAGACAGACAGTATATATCAATCATACTACACTCCTCACCCAAACCTACTTAATGCACTCGGTGACCTCCTCGCATCTGGTAATTATAGATATTAATCTCCTGTTCTGTCGGCGGGGTGCGCGCCATTGCTAGACCACAGCCCCCACAAGCTTTCACTAGACCAGCGTCATTGCCTTCTATTGCCAGTTGCGGGATAACATGGAAACAGTACCTGTTGTAAATTAGTTGTAAGATAACCAGTCGCTCTATTTGCCAACCGGACTATTTTTACACTTAAACGACGGTACCTCGCAGAGGAGATGCGTTGGGAAAAGGTCTTCCTTGGTTATTAAAGTTAGATTTGCACACAAAAAAACAACATGTCACCTTAGTCCGTCGGAGAAAAGCCTTTTCATATATACTCATGCCAATAATGGTTGTCACCCCCTTCCATTGTTTTTATTGGAGAGGGGGTTGGGGTGGGGAGGGGGATGACAACCATTATTGGCATGAGTATATATGGCCTTGTATTATATATACGCTACTTCGTTGAAAGGAGAGTCACTGGACGTTCCTGAAACCAGATTCGTTGGTTCGAATTCCGGTTTAAGGTTTGTCTGCACCACACCCGAGATCGTGACTTTCAATGTCCGAGACCAGTTCGGGTGGTACGACGTGGCATAACGCAAATGGTGTTCAAAGCGGCGTCAAACCCAAGTCACTCACTCACCCATCCAATAGGAGTTGGGCCTGCACTGTGCAGTTAACAGTATCTCAAGGCACGGATGGTCTTCTCAAGAACGTTGAATTTTTCAAGGCTCTGTGGGTTTACTCGTGTGCACACAAAACATCCAGCCATAAACTAGACGGGGCGGTGAGGTAGCCTACTGGTTAAAGCGCTCGCTCGTCACGCTGAAGACCCGGGTTCGATTCCTCACATGGGCACAATGTGTGAATCCCATTTTCTGGTGTCCCCCGCCGTGATGTTGCTGGAATATTGCTAAAAGCGGCATAAAACCACATTCACTCACTCATAAACTAGACAGTATACACTTGAAAACGGGATTTCACAACAGAAATAACAAACGTTATCAAAAATAGAAACAGACGCCGAAACACAGCAAACGTCCAAAACGCAACCATGATATCCGCAAATCAAGGTCGAATAACCCTTTTGTTTGCTCTTTTTAGCCACCATCAGAAAGGATGTATACTTTCTTTTGCCCGAAAGTATATATCTTTGACATATATATTATCTCTTCCGTGGTTGACAATGAAAACAAATGCATAAAAGTAACAAGACGATGCCTACATATGGTATAGGCGGATTAGGATATACGTATAAACCTATTGGTGGAAACACACAGTGACGTGTAGTCGGCATACGCCTACTCTATACCGAACATCAAATACGCAAACATATTCATTTTAAACTTTAGAAATTTTTTTGATAAAGACCTCTGACATTCATTAATATGTTCACTCTTACCCAAATACGTGTAGGCGAATTGTACATTAAGCATCATCAGTGCGTATGCAAATCAGCAGAGTACACCTGTTACTGCATTCTTAAAAACATAGCCAGAATGTTTTCATCTGCAATAAATGGCATGGGAATTGAGTTATAGACCCAAATGTGGCGGTGACAAAGCGTCTCGCGGTGTAAGCCCGGCAGACAAAGGGCCACATTTGATCCTAATCTGGCTATGGGGCTAGAAGCCAGATTCAGCGGACAATGGGGGCTAAATTACTACGCTGGTTGTATTTTTCGGCATGGCGTCTAGTTAGCGGGGGTCCAAACAATCCTATTAACGAGCTGGAGATCCCAATCGCAGTTTATATTTCAAACCTGACAAGAAATTTCCAGAGCTATGACAAGGAGATATTCTGAGACCCTCTCTTTTCCAAAAAATGTTGACAAGGTGTAATATTTTCTTTGGCTGAGGACATATATTCAGATGCTATCACGCTGCTGTTTCTAGCATAAGAGTAGGCTGTAAAGAGAGATTTAGAAAAGTGTCTAAACGCTGTCGAAAAATACGGCCGCGACGAGACAACGGGGTTTATGTAGACATCGCCTGTGTCTGTCATGGCCGTTCGACGCGATACCAATCTTTTCATTGTTTCAAAATGGCCAGTACCTGGCGAGATTTCTCATAGTCTGCATAGTATGATTGTATCTACTGTCCCTTAGGATCACAGTGATGGGTTGTTTATGTGAATAGCATTATGAAGGGAAAACGACGGCAAGGCACGGCACGACAGTGGGTCACCGACGTTTAGACGATAGTCTATGTATGCCGACTTTTCACAATAACCAACAATACCCCTGTCGCCGTATCTATTCAGTAAATCCCTTCAATCAAGTCGATGCAATTTTGACAAGGATTCGCAAACCGCCAAGGGCGTATCCTAATCCGATATATATCGTACAAATAATGAGATGATTTTGACGATAACGGTTCCACCTACTCTGATTCAGTTTCGTTTATTTCCAGTCCCAGTTTTTGTTATTTCCAAAGACGTACCGAAAAACGAAAAGTGGTTTAGACTTGAAATGTATATTTTTAACGGGTAGTGTATGTCTAACTACGCCGTCTAGTCGAGTGGACTCCTATGTTTGAAGAGACAAACAAATATCTGGTCCTTTCAACTGACATTTCTTTTAACAATCTTTGTCTCTTCTGTTTCGTTACAAACGATCTTAACAAGTGTCACTTGACAAGTGTTGTTGACAAGCTTGTTTTCTTCTGAATAAACTGTAGATTTGATCAGATTGGAATAATTTATGAGCCATATCAAATGAGATTTCGCTTAGGCTTATCAGACATAAACGCAAATCTGGGAAGAAGAATCCTTCAGACTACACGAATATACGTAGTGCAAACTTTGAAAGTAGAAACTGTGATATATGTTATGTTTGCCTGTATTACTCATGAAGATTCCCAGAGATGAGACGGCAGTTCTTTTAAAGTTTTAAAAGGCCGCAACATTGCTTCAGATAAGTATGGTTAAGCGCCTTTGATTAACATTACAGCACAATAACAACTTACAACACCATTAACCCCACACAGTGTATTCAAAATGGAAATAAAACCCGGACCCTCGGCGTGACAAGCAAACGCTTTAACCACTTGGCTACCGCTATTTGCTTTACATTGAAATGGTGATACGATCTGCTACAGGGTTGTACGTACATACTATTTCTCCCACAGCTTCAACATCAGATAATCTGAGTAGACGTTTCATACGCAATGAGAGAGACGTCCGTTCAGTGGACAGGTATTTTTCAGAGTCCGCGTGAGAAATACACATGTACTGACGGACAAACGTGGCTTTCGATGAACTTAGGTTACTTTCACAGACCTAATGTATGAGATAGAAATCATGAAATTGCCGGGGATAAGAGAGTACACGCCCATGGACATACAAGAAATGGTCATTCAATGAAGAGGTTTAGTTAATGAATAAAGGCGACACGACCCGGAGTTCGTTTACCTGGCCAATAGCATATTTGACGATACGGATATCATAGTTTGTTTTGCCCCTTAACTTTGCAGTGTTTCGGCGAGTGTTTAAGGCCCAGTAATGTTTTGATAACGTTTTCACTGTTTGGTCGAAACCAATTTTCGAGTGTTTACTTTCTTTTGTCCGTCAGTATACCTTTTAGCTGATGGTATTGGTTGGTTGATGTCTATGTATGTGTAGATTACGACGAAGGTGGGTTAGCGTCTCTGTGTCAGAAATGGGTTCAGAGCACACGTCCCTCGTGGAACCACACTGCAGCCAGAGTAACCAAATACACAATAGGGGACGCAACTCAGGAGAGTAGAGTTTACAGACCATAAAAATACACCCGAAATTTCCATGCAACCGACACTGTACATCGTATGCTCACTGAAGTCAAACAGACACAACCAATTATACACCCTATTATTCAGAGATCACGCGTTGCAGCATTAGGAATTATACGAAAAGAGTTTCTTTTAATCTGTTGATGTTGAGCATACACCAGTGCATCCGAGTCAATCTAAGGGACGTAACTCCCCATCAAAGCGACCACCCTAGTCACAGATATGTACAGGTCAAATATAGCCTCCATATCATCTTGTTGACCGCCCTCAATGGTGTCGTCTGCTCATAATGTCGTCTGCGCTTCCATTCATCTGTCTCCGCTCTGTCCCGTGTGGGTCGGCTCTGTGCGTCTGACTCTACCAGCTTTATTTACACAGCAGAGACAGCTTTAACCACAAAGAGAGTGATACCTTTTAAATGCCTAGTAGTAATTGTCGGAACAGTATCTCGAATTAGAGACTCGGGCAAGTTAAACGTCAACACTGAGCGCCTGAGCGGGCGGGGGAGGGAGCGCTAGTGATCTCTAGCGCGTGGCACGTGCTACTTCAAAGGCACCGAATGAAGTGTATGTAAATGGCGCTACTGCAAGTCGAGATTAGCTGAATGGTTTACGACAATACATATTCCGACTTTACGACATCTAACCTCGGTGTGGTTTACCGCAAAGAGGATTATGGTTACTTATCGTTGAGAAAGGCCGAATTGATTCAATATTTACCCGTTTCCTATTTTGTACGATCGTTCTTTAATGTCGCACAAAGCAAAACGTATCCGCAAAAGAGAGAGCATCTCACCAACAAGCAATGAATGGTTCAGATCTCTTTCGATCATGCTAGAAAAACTTGCATAGGCCACAGCTTATCTCAGACAGATCATGGTATATCAGGAATAGATTATTGAATAGACACCCCGAAATGTATTATCTGATCTAGACCTATGTATCAAATACAAAAATATTCTGAACATCATGTAACCCGGCACATAGGTGGCTGTTTAACAAGGGGTCATAGTGTCTCTTCATAGGAACGGATACACACTTTTTTGTATACTATTGAATATACAAACCAGGATAACCTCAAATCCTTGCTACTGTTGAACATACTGGTCAGAATAACCTCAAATCCTCGCTACTATTGAACATGCTGGTCAGAGTAACCTCACATTCTCGCTACTATTGAACATGCTGATCCGAATAACATCAAGCCCATGCTACTATTGAACATGCTGATCAGAATAAACTGAATCAAGGCTACTATTGAACATGCTTGTCAGAATAAACTGAATCAAGGCTACTATTGAACATGCTTGTCAGAATAAACTGAATCAAGGCTACTATTGAACATGCTGATCAGAATAAACTGAATCAAGGCTACTATTGAACATGCTGATCAGAATAAACTGAATCAAGGCTACTATTGAACATGCTGATCAGAATAAACTGAATCAAGGCTACTATTGAACATGTTGGTCGGAATAAACTGAATCAAGGCTACTATTGAACATGCTGATCAGAATAAACTGAATCAAGGCTACTATTGAACATGCTGATCAGAATAAACTGAATCAAGGCTACTATTGAACATGTTGATCAGAATAAACTGAATCAAGGCTACTATTGAACATGCTGATCAGAATAAACTGAATCAAGGCTACTATTGAACATGCTGATCAGAATAAACTGAATCAAGGCTACTATTGAACATGCTGATCAGAATAAACTGAATCAAGGCTACTATTGATTGAATAAACTGAATCATGCTACTATTGAACATGCTGAATAAACTGAATCAAGGCTACTATTGAACATGCTGATCAGAATAAACTGAATCAAGGCTACTATTGAACATGCAAGGCTACTATTGAACATGCTGATCAGAATAAACTGAATCAAGGCTACTATTGAACATGCTGATCAGAATAAACTGAATCAAGGCTACTATTGAACATGCTGATCAGAATAAACTGAATCAAGGCTACTATTGAACATGCTGGTCAGAATAAACTGAATCAAGGCTACTATTGAACATGCTGATCAGAATAAACTGAATCAAGGCTACTATTGAACATGCTGATCAGAATAAACTGAATCAAGGCTACTATTGAACATGCTGATCAGAATAAACTGAATCAAGGCTACTATTGACATGCTGGCTGAACATGCTGATCAGAATAAATTGAATCAAGGCTACTATTGAACATGCTGATCAGAATAAACTGAATCTACTATTGAACATGCTGATCATCAGAATAATAACATGCTGATCAGAATAAACTGAATCAAGGCTACTAACATTGAATCAAGAACATGCTGATCAGAATAAACTGAATCAAGGCTACTATTGAACATGCTGATCAGAATAAACTGAATCAAGGCTACTATTGAACATACTGGTCAGAATAAACTGAATCAAGGCTACTATTGAACATGCTGCTACTGAATCAAGGCTACTATTGAACATACTGGTCAGAATAAACTGAATCAAGGCTACTATTGAACATGCTGATCAGAATAAACTGAATCAAGGCTACTATTGAACATGCTGATCAGAATAAACTGAATCAAGGCTACTATTGAACATGCTGATCAGAATAAACTGAATCAAGGCTACATATTGAACAAGGCTACTATTGAACATGCTGAAGAATAAACTGAATCAAGGCTACTATTGAACATGCTGATCAGAATAAACTGAATCAAGGCTACTATTGAACATACTGATTGAATCAAGGCTACTGCTGATCAGAATAAATTGAATCAAGGCTACTATTGAACATGCTGATCAGAATAAACTGAATCAAGGCTACTATTGAACATGCTGATCAGAATAAACTGAATCAAGGCTACTATTGAACATGCTGATCAGAATAAACTGAATCAAGGCTACTATTGAACATGCTGATCAGAATAAATTGAATCAAGGCTACTATTGAACATGCTGATCAGAATAAATTGAATCAAGGCTACTATTGAACATGCTGATCAGAATAAACTGAATCAAGGCTACTATTGAACATGCTGATCAGAATAAATTGAATCAAGGCTACTATTGAACATGCTGATCAGAATAAACTGAATCAAGGCTACTATTGAACATGCTGATCAGAATAAACTGAATCAAGGCTACTATTGAACATGCTGATCAGAATAGTCTCAAGTCTAAAACCACATGCAACCATAATCAATAGCTAAATTGGTATAATTGTAACATACGGGCAATCAAACAAATCGGTAAATATGTGCCACATTTATCTTCCCATCTGCCGTTTCAAGCCTGTTTTTCCGTCCGATAACAGACGCGCTCAGATTTAGTCTATCGCACAATCGGACTGTCCAATTAGAAAATCTTTACCGCGTGTGGAATTTTGCTTTGAAATTATTCCAACAATTCAACGAAGACAAACATTTTCGAATGCTATGAACTTGCCAAAGTACTTTGTGTCTTTAACATATTTAAATGCATAACTTTTACAGTTTCACGTGTAGTCACTTGACATGGAGTAGTTTGCGTGTATCTATTGTTTAAATAGCTCAACACGGCATCAAGAAGTATATTCAGTGTGATAGTCTGTTATATTTGTGTCCAGGAAACTGGACTTTTATAGTCAGTTAACTCCCTTGCCTTGGCGAAGGGATGAACACTGGAATGTGTTAGTTATCTGATCGACCAGGTCGTTTGTAGTCGTCATTCTGAGTGGGTAAATGAGTCGTGTTTTATTCCGCTTTTAGCTATATTACAGCAATATCAATACAGAGATATTATGAAGCCATTAGAACCTGCGATCTGACTGGATATTGCCTGCTGTTTTACCACAAGGGAATAACTCGTTCTTAAAACGGGGGCGTCGCTATCGATTCGGTGAAAACTTGGCTTGAAATGGCAAGGATAGAACACTGCTGTTTCTAGCATAAGAGCAAGCTGTAAAGAAGTCTCTGAACGCAAAATATGGACCTGTACTAGTTAACACGCTTGCCCTTGGAGGAGGATGTACTTGTAACTTACCAGCTAGAACGCTTGAAGGTCCGGATTCGATCACTACAAGTACCAACAGGAAGGCAAATACCATTATCCTGAAAAATAACGAAAATACGAATTAATACCAGTATTGACATGATATAGCCATTTCAACCTGTAGCTTGAACAAAATACTGAAAACAAACTTCTGGAAAAAAATAGATTACTTTTGAATTTTTATTTTATTTTGAAAACGATTCCGGTCTACATGACATACTACTACGATGAAAGCGATGATCGTTTCTTTTTGATATCTATAACATGCCTTTTAAAATATAAATGTACTAATAGACATCTTTAAGACTGAGAAGAAATGGTCGTTACCGTTCTACGATAAATCATTATGTATTGTACACTATTTGATAAATAAGCGTCAGTGTGTCTTTAAAGACGCCCCAGAGAAACAAGGGGAGGTAACTCTAATCGCTTGTCCCACATGCTTTCATTATTTTCTTTCCTCGCGAGACCGCGTGTGAGCCGGAGAGTGTTAGCAATCGAGACCCAACGGCTATGAACTCTCCAAACACCGACGACCGTCTCGATGAAACGACGTTGTATCTAACAGCTCGAGACCAGTCGGCGCTCACGATATGGCGAAATAAATACCTGGAAAGTTTCCTTTTAAATGGTATTGTTTATTTCCCCGAGATGATTACTCAGAACAAAGGGTGACTCTAGCGCATATAGTCAAAGTAACTGGCAAACTGGTATCTTGTGAAACGATTCCACAAAGTTTTAGGGGAGCTCCTGCTAATCTGAGTTCAGTCTCGTCATTGATAACAGATTAACAAAGGCGTAAACAAATAGTCTACGCTTATTCTCCCAGTATCTTCGTTATCATGACCAGACTGGACCAGACAATCCAGTGACCAACAGCATGAGCATCAATCTACGCAACTGCGATACGATGACATGTGTCAACCGAGTGAGCGAGCCTCTTACGACAAACATGGGTTACTTCAGACCAAATCTAACCCGGATCTTCACGGGTATCCGCTTTAACGAGTGTCACTGTATACACAGCTCTATATTACCTCTCTAAACAGGCACTTATTTCTGTGTCCGGAATTGGAATCTTGGGTCAGCCTGTCTACAAATCTTTAGGACTATTATAATGTTTTGAAATTTTAATCTTGAATGATTGACGTGAAGGTACTAAAATTAACATGAAGACAACCGGAGATCGCTTTGTTAGAACACACTCACCTACTGAATTTAATAAAGGTATGTCAACAATTTGCTTATGAGTTACAGAAACACAGGGTTGTGTTGAAAGTGTGTGAATACCACTGATCACGGCAGACAGTCACGACTATACATAGTTGTGATGATGTATGTGATACATGCAGGAATTTGTTTATTGGAAACGCTTGTCATAAACAGTTTGGTACACAAAGAGGAATTTTAATTTAAAACTAGAAATTCTGAAACAATGTGTCTTGACTCGTGAGGGACGGTTGGATAGCCTAATGGGTTAAAGCTCCCGTTCGTCACGGTGGAATATTTCTAAAAGCGGCGTAAAACCATACTCACTCACTCATTAAATGTTTATGTTAAAAGTTGCACTTGTGTATAGTGAACCCATGTCAATACGGACGGAAATGTTTCGTTAAAATCAACGGGATTAACACCTCGTAGTTACTATTTGTCTTGTATAACGCCACTCAACAATATCGAAGATAAATGGCAGTGGTCTGTAAATATTCGAGTCTTGGCTAGACAATCCAGTGACTGACATCTTGAGGATCGATCTACGCATTTGGGACACGATGCAATGTATGAACCGATGTTAGCGAGCCTGACCACCTGATCACGTCAGAATCTTCGCAGGAATAATGAGTGAGTGAGTATGGTTTTACACCACTTTTAACAATTTTCCAGCAATATCACGGCGGGGATACCAGAAATGGGCTTCACACATTGTACCCATGTGGGGAATCGAACCCGGGTCTTCGGCGTGACGAGCGAACGCTTTCACGGCTAGGCTACCCTCTCGCCCCTCACAGGGATAGTGGCTATGGAATTCTGACTTATGACAGTTAATAATTCATATCATAATAATTTGATTCCAAGCATTGTTTATTCAGCACGATCAACATGGAAATATCTTGAAAAATGTACCAGAGAAATATTCGTTACGATAAAAACATGTTTTTCCAAAAATATTTAAAGAGATAACTTGATATGTGCAGAATTCTAAATACGGAAGTCTGATTTATCTACCTTATAAAAATAATTAATTTGTGACTTCCAGCTCAGCTGATAAATCGCCCACCATGTTAGACTTGCTAGGTAATTAGTCCTGGATAGGTAGTTGTTCGGAAAACACAATCCCTCCCATTGAGCGTATCATTCTGTCGAATGCTTGATGTACATGCTTCCAATCAACTGATTACGATATTTCTTTTGCAGCTTTGTAAACGAGATGAAATTATTTTACAGTTAGAATACGACAGATATGTGATAAAAGAGCAAGATGCCAACGTTGTGAGTGTTTATTCAGTATACAATCTTATGAAGTGAGATAATGCATGTTCCAGCTCAATGTCATCAGGAACTTGGCATCCGTTTCGACAAAAGGTCAGTTTGACCAACATAGCCCGTTAACACGTATCATCCATCGTACCCTCTGTTACAATTTACCTTAGCCCGTCCCCATCCCCACGCAACGGTCCATCTAGCCTGACCCCCTCTCAGCCAAATCTGTCCCGTCACCCTCTCCCTCTCGCAACAGTACATATGAGTCCAGCTAGCCTGACGCCCTCTTCCCATGGTAACAACCAAACCTGACCCTTCACCCTCTCCCTCCCCTCGCAACAGTCCGGCTATCCTGACCCCCTCTCAGCCAAACCTGTCCCTTCACCCTCTCCCTCCCCACGCAACAGTCCATCCAGTCTGACCCCCCTCTAAGCAAAATCTGTCCCGTCACCCTTCCCCCACTCGCAACAGTACATATGAGTCCAACTAGCCTGACCCCCTCTTCCCATGGTAACAACCAAACATGTCCCTTCACCCTCTCCCTACCCACGTATCAGTCGATCTTGCCTGACCCCCCTCTCTCGTTCACAACACAAACCTGCTCATTCACTATTTCTCCCTCACCCACTATAACGACCATACCGTACCCGCCGCTCCCTTCTCTCCGGCTTTAATTCAGCTAGGCGGAACCCTTCTCTCCTCTAACAAACAAAACTGATCACGACCCATCACACCAACCTGCCCTTGCGAGCCCGAAACCATCTCCCCACAGGAAATCAGCCCAGACACGCCACCCCTCTCCCTTCCCTAAAACAGCCACACCTGGCTCGTCGCATTCCCACCCTCACCAATCTAGCTACCTGGAACCTATCTAAGTTATCAATTCGTCCACCGCTGTTGCAACCGCTCTGCCCCCTCATCCCTCTTCGGTCCGTCGTTTCCCCTCCCAAACAACAGTATATCTATATACAGTGTATTCCCGTGTAATTCTCAGAAAATTAACCATATCTAGAAAGATATTTCGTCAACAGGTAAGTAACGTGTAATCGGCATTTGTGTTCCCTACTTTACCGAGCTTGGCACAAAGCAGCATCATGTAACAGTAAACAAACAAATCTGATGCCTAGCCAGTATGAGACGAACTAAGTTTTGCATCACAAACATACTGCAATACCCGATAAAATCTGCAATCTGGTCAAAATTGACCAGCGGTCTAGTGTACTGTGACGGGCACCTGCTGTGAACAGGACAGAGCTACTACTCCACCTGACGTCGAGCCTGACCCCATCTCTTACATCAGTCCATACACCTCCATCCAAACTCCGATGCCAGGCAAATTGACGTCTCCGCGCCGTTACTGCTCCCACGGCGTCTTGCACATCCCACATCCCGTCTTGCCGTACACTATCATCCATCTCGTCTAATCCCAATCATCCCGCGCCACTATTCTTACAGGCTTGTTTAAAGCAGCCTAATTCAACGCATAAAATGCGGACATCGAAAAACATCCGAATCTGTTTATAATTAACGATCCCCTGCCAAGACGTGCATCTACACCACTGCAGAGTTGGGAGCATATGAATCGTGTGCCCTCGTTACCGTGTAACGGTACCCCGCATGTTAATATCCGTCAATAACACGCTTCCTAGATCGTCAGCAGTCAAGTCTGAGAGCTGACAATTTCTCTGCTCTAAAACTCCAGTACTATAATGTTACACGTCTTTTTATCACTGTAGTATGCAAACAGAATTGAAAACTGGCGACTCTTGAAGTGCAAACCCCGATTAATGTAAATCCCCATCAATCGACCATGATCAGGTAATCCGTTTATCCGATAAACGAGTTCAAGTGTATATATCATTTCAAACAGTGCGTGGTGACAATTGCTTGATTACCAATCAATCATATGGATAATTGACGACGTATACCAGTCAATTCAGACTTTAGTTTACAATTTGTATATTTTGTCATTATCATTGTGATTGTATGTTCCCATAAATTGCTAAGACCATTAACACTGACTGTCGTATCTTTACGTCAAACTAAAAAGATCGATTATCAATCAATGTTTCATTGATTTGAAAACATCCACTCTGATGTAGGTACTTAATGCCTATCGTGAAACCAGTAGAAATACGTATCAGGCCGATAAATGATAAATGTCTAGCACATAAAGTACAAGAAATAAGTAGACATTATTCCCAGCGAAACGAAATTGATCACGTTTTGTTTATTGTCAAAGACCATTCCTTAGTAAGGGTGTTGGAATGCTCTGTCGCTGTCTGCGCTATCAATCACTGTACGGTTATCGAAGACGCACTGGCGACTTGTCAGTCAGAATACATATCACATATTTCTTTCACATGACAACTTTGTATTTATTGCAAAAATATCAGACCCCGAAATATTAACTCAACAGAGTTCATGCGTACTTTGGTAATCACATTAAACTGACCGCTTAATTAAAAACGAGCACCTTAATAAGAGCCTATTAGAAATTTAGGAAATGTATTGATTGAAACCAAGTTTGGTAACGCTAAACGTCAGTAGAAGAAACTGATATTTTTCGTAGGAAAGTTATCAAAACCCTCTAAAAATTAAATTAAATTCTTTGAAATAAGGAATGTGGAATTATTTCAATATGAAATTGTTAAAATTAGATAAAATCTCATTAATAAAAGTGTTTTAAAATATATCAATAAAACAAAGTATATGTTTATTACTTACTGACGGATGATGAAATAAGAGTTGATATCTAAGTGAGAAAATTCGGCTTGAAATAGCAGGACTTGGTAGTAATCCGTTCTTGATGTGACTGTGTCCCAGGAATAAATGTATGATATCCGTCGATCTGACTTTTTATATCACAGCCACTGCTCGTGCAAAGTAAGATCGGATCTGAGTGAAATTGGAAACATCATTCGTTCATTATTCCAGAGTTGTGTTTTGAATCACCAGTACATTTCCACTTATATCGATAGAGCTGCACCTCCTCCCATCACTCTGCTAATTATCCGTTAGGCGTATTATGCAAATTTAACGTTGAGAAATCGACAAGGGTTGAAGCAAAACAAATGACTAACTTCAGCGGTTGACTAAACGAATCACGTGAATCTGCTGGAGAATATACCACAAATCCTTTGAAGCACAGCGTTGACAAACTTGATTTCACTTAAAATATTCAGTGTGAGGAACCACGTGGGAGATATTGTCTGTCAAATCCGTTTCCATAGAACGCTATGTACCACAGCCACGTGAAACTGATTGAGTGAAATGAGTGACTTGAGGGTCGGGCATCACAGGTAGTGTATCCCGCTTGAAATGCAGCCTTCATGAAACTAACACTAGGTCTTGTAGCGGAGGCAAGTCAATGAAGCGCAAATCCTAAACAATCTCTTCGGCCGAAGAAGGCTGGCTGTTCGATTGAGCGACATAGTGCCGCGCTCCACGCGCTGACGTCGGAGTAGACAAGACGGCAAAGATCAAACAAACCGGACAGCCCGATAAACCTCCTCGTTCACTGAGAGAAACATGGAATAACAAATATAGGTATTTTAATGTTTTCAAAAACTAATAAATTTCCCACGACTTCTTCTCGGAAACGAATATGAAACCATGAAGTAGTGGACAGCAAGTTTAAGAATCCTGTCATTGCCAAACCGACACCAATCCCCATTAATTGTTTCACTTAAAATCGCGAGAAAACGGTACTGTCTTTATCGATGGCTTTTTCCATTCACAAAATTATACACGTAATCAGACTTTCATAGCTGAGTCATTTGAACAAACCGTGAATAGAATACTTCTAAAACCCAGAGACGCGCATTGCAAGATTTAAAAGCTTCACTGACTGAGGCCCGCATCTTTAGCAAATACAATTATGTGGAATACATCAGTACTGAAGAGGTTTACATTAAGCTAAGGTGTTATTGATGCCGTTATTCTATGCATAAACACGGGTCTTAACTAGAGAATCACCTAATCGGTGTTCTTACGGCATATTATGGGATTTCTGTATATGGAATAGCGTCACTGTTTGGTGTTTTTCTGATGACTGACATTGCGGTGTATGAGTAAGGGACGTGAGACACGATACGATTAACTTTATCGCAAACTGTCACACTATGCGATAAATCTGATAATATCGTTAATAAATGGCGGCTGATGAGATGTATTGACTACTTCTTTGCTGTTAAACACAGACGAAAACGTAAAAATAAAATTGTCATCCATAAAACGCACCGAATTAAATGTTAAAAAATGAAATTATTGCCCACCGAGAACCTTTTTCTCCCTCATATCAGGCATCAGTCAACAATGTGCAGTAGGTGGTTTAATAAATTATTTTCTGCCTCATGCTATTTTTTCACTCTCGCTCTCAGTGTGCCTCTTTTAGACCGTGTATTATTAAATTGAAATACAAAACTAAAATGCAAATAGAACTTTACATCCCTTGCAAGCCTGTTGATGAATGGATTATTTTTTCAGAACATGCAAAGAACACTCAGCAGTGTGTGGTTTTTTTCACTCTCCATGTTATCCCCCCTCCCTCATTCGCTCCCCCTATCTCTTGTTTCTCTCTCTCTCTCTCGTCATGTACAATCTGCAAAGCTATACACTTTAATGAGACATCATCTGATAATTTTCTGTCTAGTGTTTAATGTTTTAAAATAGTATTAAATCAGGATTAAAATTTACCTTATCTCCCCCCTTCGTCATTACGCCTACCCCACACATCCTCCACCACCAGTACAAATGATCACTGACTTTGTTAGCCCGCTCCCATTGAAGCGACTCCGCTCGCTCGGCAGTGTTTATTCTCAGTTGAGACGCAAGCAGTGTTCGTCTACAGCTTGATATTACCACAAGAAGATCGTGCAAAATATTTATTATTTTAGTTGAAAAGCGTCTCAACTCTCGCGCCAGTGGACTGCAACATAACGGTTTTGTCGTGTATCGCGATACCTAGTGTATCTTGCTGTGGATGGATCTCAGCTCAGGTGCTTCCACGGCCGGCATGAGAAAATATCACCACCTTCATTTATACATGGCTTGTCAGGGGAGCGTCTCAAACTCTCACAGTACATTTTCTTTAAATTTGCCTCAGTTCCTTGGATGTGTTTTATTCAGTGGTCAGCTATGTCAGATGGGCCTGACTGAGGCGAAGGCACACATTGTGTGAGTGAAGGCTTAAGTACTGATGTGTAAGACTTGCACAAGTCTCTAAGATAAAAATATCATAAAGATCATTTCTAAAGCGCAATAAATAAGTGAGTGAGAGAGTATAGTTTTACGCCGCAATCAGCAATAGTCCAGCTATATGGCGGCGGTCTGTAAATAATTGAGTCTGGACCAGACAAACCAGTGATCAACAGCATGAGCATCGATCTGCGCTATTGGGAACCGATGGCATGTGTCAGCCAAGTCAGCGAATCTGACCACCCGATCCCGCTAGTCGCCTCTTACGACAAGCATGGGTTACTGAAGGCCAATATTCTAACCCAGACCTTCACGGGTCGCGTAATAAATAACAGACCCGGGTCCTTATCTAGACTTGCCTCTTCGAAGGATGGAAATGCAAAACATCCATGGGCAGCCTTGGATCAAGGCTACTGGACATTGGTATATAACATTGGACATTGTGTATAACACTGGACATGGGTATATAACACTGCACACTGATATATAACACTGGACATTGGTATATAACACTGGACATTGATAGCACTGCACACTGGTATATAACACTGGACATTGGTATATAACACTGGACATTGGTATATAACACTGGACATGGGTATATAACACTCCACACTGGTATATAACACTGGACATTGGTATATAACACTGGACATTGGTATATAACACTGCACACTGGTATATAACACTGGACATTGGTATATAACACTGGACATTGGTATATAACACTGGACACTAGTGTATATAACACTGGACATGGGTATATAACACTGGTATATAACACTGGACACTGGTACATAACACTGCACACTGGTATATAACACTGGACATTGGTATATAACACTGGAAACTGGTATATAACACTGGACACTGGTATATAACACTGGACATTGGTATATAACACTGGTATATAACACTGGACACTGGTATATAACACTGGACACTGGTATATAACACTGCACACTGGTATATAACACTGGACATTGGTATATAACACTGGACATTGGTATATAACACTGCACACTGGTATATAACACTGGACATTGGTATATAACACTGGACACTGGTATATAACACTGGACATTGGTATATAACACTGGACATTGGTATATAGCACTGGACATTGGTATATAACACTGGACATTGGTATATAACACTGCACACTGGTATATAACACTGGACATTGGTATATAACACTGGACATTGGTATATAACACTGCACACTGGTATATAACACTGGACATTGGTATATAACACTGGACATTGGTATATAACACTGGACACTGGTATATAACACTGGACATTGGTATATAACACTGCACACTGGTATATAACACTGGACATTGGTATATAACACTGGACATTGGTATATAACACTGGACATTGGTATATAACACTGCACACTGGTATATAACACTGGACATTGGTATATAACACTGGACATTGATAGCACTGCACACTGGTATATAACACTGGACATTGGTATATAACACTGGACATTGGTATATAACACTGGTCATTGGTATATAACACTGGACATTGGTATATAGCACTGGACATTGGTATATAACACTGGTGGTATATAACACACACTGGTATATAACACTGGACATTGGTATATAACACTGCACACTGGTATATAACACTGGACACTGGTATATAACACTGGACATTGGTATATAACACTGCACACTGGTATATAACACTGGACATTGGTATATAACACTGGACATTGGTATATAACACTGGACACTGGTATATAACACTGGACATTGGTATATAACACGGACATGGACTGGTATATAACACTGGACATTGGTATATAACACTGGACATTGGTATATAACACTGACACTGGTATATAACACTGGACATTGGTATATGGTATATAACACTGGACATTGGTATATACACTGCACACTGGTATATAACACTGGACATTGGTATATAACACTGGACATTGGTATATAACACTGGACACTGGTATATAACACTGGACATTGGTATATAACACTGGTCATTGGTATATAACACTGGACATTGGTATATAGCACTGGTCATTGGTATATAACACTGGACATTGGTATATAACACTGGGCACTGGTATATAACACTGCACACTGGTATATAGCACTGGACATTGGTATATAACACTGGACATTCATAGCACTGCACACTGGTATATAACACTGGACATTGGTATATACCACTGGACATTGGTATATAACACTGGACATTGGTATATAACACTGGACATTGATAACACTGCACACTGGTATATAACACTGGACATTGGTAACACTGGACATTGGTATATAACACTGCACACTGGTATATAACACTGGACATTGGTATATAACACTGGTCATTGGTATATAACACTGGACACTGGTATATAACACTGGACATTGGTATATAACACTGGTCATTGGTATATAACACTGGACATTGGTATATAACACTGGACATTGGTATATAACACTGGACATTGGTATATAACACTGCACATATAACACTGGTATATAACACTGGACATTGGTATATAACACTGGACATTGGTATATAACACTGCACACTGGTATATAACACTTATATAACTGCACTGGTATATAACACTGGACATTGGTATATAACACATTGGTACATTGATAGCACACTGCACACTGGTATATAACACTGGACATTGGTATATAACACTGGACATTGGTATATAACACTGGACATTGGTTGGTATATAACACTGGACATTGGTATATAACACTGGACATTGGTATATAACACTGGTCATTGGTATATATAACACTGCACACTGGTATATAACACTGGACTTGGATATAACATTGGTATATAACACTGGTCATTGGTATATAACACTGGACATTGGTATATACATTGGTATATAACACTGGACATTGGTATATAACACTGGTCACTGGTATATAACACACTGGTATATAACACTGGACACTGGTATATAACACTGGACATTGGTATATAACACTGGACATTGGTATATAACACTGGACATTGGTATATAACACTGGACACTGGTATATAACACTGCACACTGGTATATAACACTGACATTAATAGCACTGCACACTGGTATATAACACTGGACACTGGTATATAACACTGGACATTGGTATATAACACTGGACATT